AATGTCATTGGAAATTAGCCAATGAGCGCACGGAAATTTCTGCAGTTATTGTAAATATTATATTGACAAGGATGTTCTCAATAGATTTCGACATTCTACCTTTTTAGAAATTTGAATGTCAGCAAACAGTAGTGAACGAAATCCATGTTGGTTGGCGACACTTAGTATCATCAGAAGACGATGATGATCATGGTCTCTTTGTAGTATGGTAGCAAGTAAAAATGCTCTGTAGACGGACTTGTTCCCTCTCACGAGAAAAAACTGAATTTGACCTACACGTGCACCTACAAAGATAATTCTCTACCCATCATTAATGGCCTTATGATCTTCATAAGAACGCTCCCACTTCAGCCACTTGAGGACGACCCGAAGATTCTGCCAGTTTTAACAACTTATCGAGCGGTGACTGGGTTTATAACCGTGAACTCTAAAGTATTTTAGTTGTAGGATTTTACTCGACCATAGTTAACAGAGGGAAATGTTTATGAAACCTGACAAAGTTCTTTGTTGTATGTTTTTGCTGGCTATTTTGGGTTTGACCCTGCACAACGTTGCAAAATACAAAAGGTGGTTATGTGTGCTCATACAACTATCCAATAGAAGCATTGTGATTATGTAATTCATGCATAGCCTAGGAGCATAAAATAGATATGCAGGGATATGGGCCTTCCAACATAAATCTTAGCCTGCTTGCTTGCTTCTTTGAGGTTTACCTGGTTTCTTACCCATTTCCGTCTTTTAACTATGTCTTGACAGGGTGAGTTTCCAAGAAATCTTACGTTGCTCGTTTGTTTCTTTGTTTGTTTTCACATAGAAACCTCTACCTTGTCATTCAACTACGACCATTTTCCAAATATTCCACCTGGCGTAAAGGTATGGTAATCAATGTTATATTTGAGGAATAAATGTCAGCCGATACTTCTGTTATTCTTTGATAGGATAAAGATCATATAAAGACACGTAATTTTGCTCACGAGATGGTGAAGTGGAAGCTTTGAACACTGGCGAGGGCAACATCACCCATTATCATTATCATCATCATCATTATCATCATCATTATTATTATTATTGTTATTATGATTGTTGTTAGATCGTTTTTTAGATCGTTTTGTGTTTTTATCCAACGAGTTATTTTAAAGTAACGTCAATTTTTTTTTCACGGTTAATGTTTTTAATGCATTATATGTATGTACGTATTATAATGTAGTATAATTTTAAAGTAGTTCTTAAAGCGGTAGTGATCATTACATGTAAGTCTGCGCGTGGTGCGGACTAAGCGTTCCGGTTTGGAAAGGATTTGTCAATTTTCGTCCTATAAAAAAGTTTGGGAACAATTGTTTCGCTGCTTGGTACCAGTATACAAAATCAA